ATCACAGCCTCTTCATTTCTGTCGTATTCCTATCAATCATATACATCTACCGTCCATATCTACGATAGCCATCCATCTTTAATGTCATGACATTCCGTGTTACAATCACATCCATTCATTCACTTATTTTGTGAGATAGGAAGTATGCAGGTTTTTCTATTTCTCTTTTCACTTCGTCATCATATATCTGCTGCGTTAAGCAAGCACTGATTGCTAAGACCTATGAATCCGTATAAGTTTATATTCTTTGTTCGCTCCGGCTTCGCTTGCTTCATGATTCGGACATCATAACTTTCAAACGCACATGTTTACTAGTTGTTGTGGTGTCCTCCCTGTAAAGAATCTATGTTAGACTCTTCCGCCTACTATAAGATTAGTAAGACAGAAGGCTTCGGGGAATAGTGAATGGATTGAACTCTAGTTCATTCAGTACACCCTCACTAGTCGTGTAATACTCTTCTGGTGTACTTACTGTTTAATATACGATATAACTGCAAACCTGGTTTTTGTTATTACTTGACCTTTTATTTGGTGACAACACTAGTTAATATGGCTCTGCTAAGCTATAGAATCCTAGAATAAATTGTTGGTAGTCGTGATATACGCTTGGGCTATCATGTATCTTTCGACGAGGCAGATTTTTTCCCGTAGTAGGTTGCCATTTCTTTCTGCAGTAGACCGGTTGCCATATTTACCCATAGCTGAGAGGAGAAGAAGAGGATTCATACTTTTCCCAAGTGTATTAGCAAGTAAGTGAATGTAATGGATTTGACTGGAATTCGAAACTCGGCTCTCCGCATTCCTAAATCAGAGCCGCTATTCATTACACCACCGGGCCTCTTCCACGACGCCACTGTAACTCCTCATCGGTAGTAGAAGCTCATAATGATGAACCACGAAACTGTCTGACAGTGCTGGGAGTGGCCACGGAGCGTATAGCTTTTACTTTATCAGTATCTGGTTGTATTAACCTAGTGCTGATTTTAAACCCTACGTAATGGGTCTATGACTTTATAAAGATCACATTTTAAGAGGCGGTTTTAACTTCATATTATGTTTTCTTAAGCTTTTGAAAACTATCTGAATGTGTTATAAATGGTGTTCTATAGAATCAAAAAGCACTAAAATGGCATCCAAATAAGGACAGAGCGTGCTGTTTCTGTCCCTGTAAAATGGTAGGCATTAATTCCTGAAATATTCCGGGCGCGTTCGCTAGTCCAAATGGCATAACGATAAAGCGAAATATACCCCGTTGACACATAAACGTAGTCTTTTCTGTATCCCTCTTCATGTAGCTCCACCTGCCAGTATCCGGATTTTAAGTGAAATTTCTAATTGTCACCGTACATTATATGGAAGATATTGATAATACCTTTAAACTCCTCCAAAACCCTTATTATTTCATACTTATCGAAAAACAGAAAGCTCATCAAAGTTTTAAAAGTAAAAAGATCATCGATACAAAAAAAAATTGATGTAATGGAGTAACCAGTCACCCCCATGAATGATTACACTATAAGGAGAAGTACCTATAAAGTCAACTGTCTACGAGAGACTCGGGGAAGAGTGAGAGAGAGACGACGCAAACACGCACTACCTTCTTATTAGTGGCACTCACTACTAGACTGACCTATGCGTATAACTGTATCGTATTTCATATTGTACTGGTTATGTACAATAAGCCTTTCTTCTATTATCCACCTGGTGTTAAGTATTTATTCACTTAGCACGGAATATAACAAAAATAATTTATCTAAGCTTAACGTAAAATTTGTTACAACTACTTCTAAATCAATAAAAGACTTAATGCAAAACAAAATAATAAGAAATGAAATTTTTAGTGATGTACTCTATAATCTGTAGTGACTGCCAAAAAGAACAGATAGGTGAAACTACAGAAACCGCGAGAAAATACAATATTACATGAACACAAAAGGGATCTATTTCGAAACATTTGCGTTCGGCAGGGGTTTACGGTACAATTTCGGGCGAAATTGGTTGGAGTATTACATATTGTTTAAGCTTTATCTCAAGATAAAGAAGGTTAGTGTTTTAGTATTATATTCAGAGTGGATGGAAAGGAACTAGGCATTAGAAATCATACTTATTATAAAACCCAGAGTGGTGTGTGTGTGTGTGTCTGTACGTTTATATATTGGATCAGATTTCCTACATTTTTCAACCGATTTCAACGAAACTTCACAGGACTACGTAAAATTACATTGCGGTCGTTCTGACAGCGCCAAAAATGGGAAAAACACAATTGTTTTTGCCCGAAATCAATTTGAAAACACGATTAAGATTCATCGCGAGAATGAAAGGGGGACAACTCATATCGAGTTATACTTATTATAAAACCCAGGTTGTTTGTGTGTGTGTTCGTTTATATATGGGATCGGATTTCCTACATTTTTCAACCGATTTCAACAAAATTTTACTTTTTTTTTTTTCGCAGGTAGTGTTTCTTATTGTCTTGCACACTTTTTTCTTTATTTTTACATTCAGAATGCTTTAAAAATTCCATTTACAAGACAATTGTTTATAATAAAATTCTATTCAATCGGTAGACTCATAACGATTGAAAACAATGTTTTTGTTTGAGTTTGGGTTTGACCAATTCGTAAAAAAAACAAAAAAAAACAAAACAAAACAAAACAAAAAAAAACTAATTAAGACATGCATGTCCGTCAATCTTAAACAATAATCTTTGTCAATTTTATTTTTCAGTCTTTATAATGGTCGATACTTGATCTATCTCTTACTGTTACATCCCCGGGCAACGCCGGGCTCTACTGCTAGTTGCTTATAGAATTTTTAGTATCACTGAAGTCATGACGAAAACATTTTTTTTAAACAAATACGGATTTTTTTACGTGCAGAAACTAAAACCTGAAGATTGTGACCGCAGAATGGAATATGGAGAGATAATGCTAGGTTGGCATGAAGATTGGCCTGAATTGTTTGAAAACATCCTCTGGAGTGATTAGGCTGTATTCCATGTTGGTGGTTTCATCAGTCGTCACAACTACCATGACTGGGCGTCGTGTGATAACGATCCGAACACGACGGTTGGGAGGATGCAAGGTCGACTAAAAGTGACCGTGAAGTGCGGAAAGACGGCAACAAGAGCCGTCGGCCCATATCTCCTGGGTAACACCATGAATACGAAGCACTATCATCAGATACTCACGATGTCTGGCTGGGATAGCATTGGTGACCTAATATTTATAAAGGACGCTGCCCCACCTCATTTTGCTCTTACCTTGCGTGCGTGATTAGACCACATTTTCCAGGACATTGGATGAGACGATGCGGGCCTCATGAATGGCATCCAAGAAGTCCGGGATCTCACTCCATGAGATCTAGACTCGTATACTGGAGGATTTAGAGACACGGATTCAAGAGTTTCTCTATGATATCCCAGACGACGTACTTCAGAAAATTATTCATCCCATCCCAGATTGTTTGTTGACGCCAGAAATATGAAGATGTACTTCCATTTTCCCCGTGTACTAAAGAACATCTACCATTTGTTTCAATAAATTTGTAATAAGAATATGGATTTTGCTAACAAATTTAAATGCCTATTAACTTTTCACCCACCCTGTAGATTATGGCTTTTGAGAACATATGTATGAATTCCTCCCCCGCTCTCTCTCACTCTCTGTCTGTCTGTCTGTCTCTCTCTGTCTCTCTTTCTCTCTCTCTCTCTCTCTTACACACCCACACACGCACACACAACACACGCACACACAACACACACACAGAGGAAAATATTAAAATGTTCCCGGAAAAAATATTGCTAATAAATGTTTACAATTTCAAGTTTTAATCTGAACTGATTAAAAGTTTGGAAACACTGTCTACAAAATTGTGCAAAGGTCAACGGAGCTGATATAGGAAATACTATCAACTTGATGTCAGTTGAGTGGAGAGAATTTCAACTCGAAGAAACAAAGCACCAAAAATAAGAAAATCTACTTACAGCAAGCACAGTGACAACCAATAAATAGACGGGCATGATAAATCAGAAGCTAAAATGGACGTCTACATCAGGGGTAAAAAACGGAAATGGTTAAATTAGATAAGATGATTAAAACCCATTCTAAATTAAAAAAAAGTTTAAGTTATGGAATATTTAACACGTTTGAGATTTGTGAAGAGTCAATGATTTGCTGTTATTAATGTAACGTATTTGTTAAATGATTGTCATGAGCCCTTACCTATAACTACAGACTGAACTCTTCCTAACACTATGTATACTACGCCTCTAAAGAGATAGGGACAAATCAAGCCGAGCTTCTCGGCTTGACGGTCGAACTCTTTGCCTCTGAGCAGAGAGGAACACGGACGAGGCTCCGCCGAAGAGCAGAGTCTCGTTCGGGGAGGTTGACCAACCCGATCCCGTTTATACGGGTTCTACGGGCATTTTTTGCCCGAGTCTACGGGCTCGGGAAACACACGTTAAACTCAGCCTCGTGTGGGGGTGACTAGATACCGAATCGAGCCGAGCTTCTCGCCTTGACTGTCGAACTCTCTGCCTCTGAGCAGAGAGGAAACTGGACGAGGCTCAGCCGAAGGGAAGAGCCTCGTTCAGTCGGCAGGTCGATACTGCTGTCCGGTTTGTGCCCGTCGCAGTGCCCATGCGACTTCTTGGAGCCATGTATGAGAGTTGGATGTAGGACCTGGATCATTACAGTTCTGCATCCTTATTCAACTGCGTAAATCTGAGTCAAATACTTCGTTGCAAAGGTATCTGTCATGGGTCCTTAACTATAACTACAGAATGAACTCTTTCTAACACTATGTATACTACGTCTCTCAAGAGAGAGGGTCGAATCGAGTCGAGCCAGTAGTAGTTCACTCCAAACCAGACTGACAGTCATACTAACACCTTCCACAACTTCTATTATTATTTCGTGTAATATACCTTCGTTATTTATACACTTGTGTTCGTGTTGTTCTTCCTTGGTCCTAAACCGGACAATAAAAATGATATATCACTTCACATGGGAATATGGAAATGAATAAATACACATGGGCAGATAGGAACGGATGTATCTATGTGAGCAGAAGGTGACGAATTGATTGACATGAGCGGATTGAAACGGATAGAAATGAGCGGATGGAGACAAATAAACAGACATGGGCAAATAGAGACGGATAGATGAACATAAGCAGATGGAGACGAATACATAACTATAGGCAGATAGCGACGGATAGATATACGCGGGCAGCTGGAGACGGGTAGATGTACATGGGCAGATAGGTACGTATAGATATACGTGGACAGGTGAAGGCGAATAGAGAGACATGGGCAGATGGAGACGAATAGATAAACATAGGCAGATGGAAACGAATAGATGTACATATGCAGATGGACACGAATAGATGTGCATAGGCAGATAGGGAAGGATAGATGTATATGAGCGGATGGTGACGGATTGAAGGACATGAACGAATTGAGACCGATAGAAATGAGATGATGGCGACGGATAAATAGACATGGGAAAATGGGGAAGGATAGACGTAGATGGGCAGATGGAGACGAATAGATGTACATAGGCAGATAGGGAAGGATAGATGTATAAGAGCGGATGGTGACGGATTGAAGGACATGAACGGATTGTTACCGATAGAAATGAGCTGATGGCGACGGATAAATAGACATGTGGAAATGGGGAAGGATAGACGTAGATGGGCAGATGGAGACGAATAGATGTACATAGGCAGATAGGGAAGGATAGATGTATATGAGCGGATGGTGACGGATTGAAGGACATGGACGGATTGAGACCGATAGAAATGAGCTGATGGGGACGGATAAATAGACATGGGCAAATGGGGAAGGATAGACGTAGATGGGCAGATGGAGACGAATAGATGTACATAGGCAGATAGGGAAGGATAGATGTATATGAGCGGATGTAACGGATTGAAGGACATGAACGGATTGAGACCGTTAGAAATGAGCTGATGGCGACGGATAAATAGACATGGGCAAATGGGGAAGGATAGACTTTGATGGGCAGATGGAGACGAATAGATATACATAGGCAGATAGGGAAGGATAGATGTATATGAGCGGATGGTGACGGATTGAAGGACATGGACGGATTGAGACCGATAGAAATGAGGTGATGGCGATGGATAAATAGACATAGGCAAATGGGAAAGGATAGACGTAGATGGGCAGATGGAGACGAATAGATGTAAATAGGCAGATAGGGAAGGATAGATGTATATGAGCGGATGGTGACGGATTGAAGGACATGACAGGATTGAGACCGATAGAAATGAGCTGATGGCGAAGGATAAATAGACATGGGCAAATGGCGAAGGAAAGACGTAGATGGGCAGATGGAGACGAATAGATGTACATAGGCAGATAGGGAAGGATAGATGTATATGAGTTGATGGTGACGGATTGAAGGACATGAACGGATTGACACCGATAGAAATGAGCTGATGGCGACGGATAAATAGACATGGGCAAATGGGGAAGGATAGACGTAGATGGACAGATGGAGACGAATAGATGTACACAGGAATATAGGGAAGGATAGATGTATATGTGCGGATGGTGACGGATTGAAGGACATGGACGGATTAAGACCGATAGAAATGAACTGATGGCTACGGATAAATAGACATGGGCAAATGGGGAAGGATAGACGTAGATTGGCAGATGGAGACGAATAGATGTACATAGGCAGATAGGGAAGGATAGATGTATATGAGCGGATGGTGACGGATTGAAGGACATGAACGGATTGAGACCGGTAGAAATGAGCTGATGGCGACGGATACATAGACATGGGCAAATGGGGGAGGATAGACATAGATGGGCAGATGGAGACGAATAGATATACATAGGCAGATGGGGAAGGATAGATGTATATGAGAGGATGGTGACGGATTGAAGGACATGAACGGATTGAGACTGATAGAAATGAGCTGATGGCGACGGATAAATAGACATGGGCAAATGGGGAAGGATAGACGTAGATGGGCAGATGGAGACGAATAGATATACATAGGCAGATAGGGAAGGATAGATGTATATGAGAGGATGGTGACGGATTGAAGGACATGAACGGATTGAGACCGATAGAAATGAGCTGATGGCGACGGATAAATAGACATGGGCAAATGGGGAAGGATAGACGTAGATGGGCAGATGGAGACGAATAGATATACATAGGCAGATAGGGAAGGATAGATGTATATGAGCGGATGGTGACGGATTGAAGGACATGAACGGATTGAGACCGATAGAAATGAGCTGATGGCGACGGATAAATAGACATGGGTAAATGGGGAAAGAGAGACTTAGATGGGCAGATGGAGCCGAATAGATATACATAGGTAGAGAGAAGGATAGATATATATGAGAGGATGGTGACTGATTGAAGGACATGAACGGATTGAGACCGATAGAAATGAGCTGATGGCGACGGATAAATAGACATGGGCAAAGGGGGAAGGATAGATAGTAGATGGGCAGATGGAGACGAATAGATGTACATAGGCAGATAGGGGAAGGATAGATGTATATGAGCGGATGGTGACGGATTGAAGGACATGAACGGATTGAGACCGACAGAAATGAGCTGATGGCGACGGATAAATAGACATGGGCAAAGGGGGAAGAATAGACGTAGATGGGCAGATGGAGACGAATAGATGTACATAGGCAGATAGGGAAGGATAGATGTATATGAGCGGATGGTGACGGATTGAAGGACATGAACAGATGGAGACCGAAGAAATGAGCTGATGGCGACGGATAAATAGACATGGGCAAATGGGGAAGGATAGACGTAGATGGGCAGATGGATAGAATAGATACAGATAGGGCAGATATGGACGGATGACGGGAAGGAAAGCGGATTGAGATTGGGATTGATAGAAATGACCGATAGAAATGCTGATGGCGACGGATAAATAGACATGGGCAAATGGGGAAGGATAGACGTAGATGGGCAGATGGAGACGAATAGATGTACATAGGCAGATAGGGAAGGATAGATGTATATGAGCGGATGGTGACGGATTGAAGGACATGAACGGATTGAGACCGATAGAAATGAGCTGATGGCGACGGATAAATAGACATGGGCAAATGGGGAAGGATAGACGTAGATGGGCAGATGGAGACGAATAGATGTACATAGGCAGATAGGGAAGGATAGATGTATATGAGCGGATGGTGACGGATTGAAGGACATGAACGGATTGAGACCGATAGAAATGAGCTGATGGCGACGGATAAATAGACATGGGCAAATGGGGAAGGATAGACGTAGATGGGCAGATGGAGACGAATAGATGTACATAGGCAGATAGGGAAGGATAGATGTATATGAGCGGATGGTGACGGATTGAAGGACATGAACGGATTGGACCGATAGATAAATGAGCTGATGACGGATAAATGGATAGGGCGCAAATGGGGAAGGATAGACGTAGATGGGCAGATGGAGACGAATAGATATACAGGCAGATGGGGGAAGGATAGATGTATATGAGCGGATGGTGACGGATTGAAGGACATGAACGGATTGAGACCGACAGAAATGAGCTGATGGCGACGGATAAATAGACATGGGCAAATGGGGAAGGACAGACGTAGATGGGCAGATAGAGACGAATAGATTTACATAGGCAGATAGTGAAGGATAAATGTATATGTGCAGATGGTGGCGGATTGAAGGACATGAACGGTTTGAGACCGATAGAAATGAGCTGATGGCAACGGATGAATAGACATGGGCAAATGGGGAAGGATAGACGTAGATGGGCAGATGGAGACGAATAGATGTACATAGGCAGATAGAGAAGGATAGATGTATATGAGCGGATGGTGACGGATTGAAGGACATGGGGAAGGAACGGATTGAGACCGATAGAAATGAGCTGATGGCGACGGATAAATAGACATGGGCAAATGGGGAAGGATAGACGTAGATGGGCAGATGGAGACGAATAGATGTACATAGGCAGATAGGGAAGGATAGATGTATATGAGCGGATGGTGACGGATTGAAGGACATGAACGGATTGAGACCGATAGAAATGAGCTGATGGCGACGGATAAATAGACATGGGCAAATGGGGAAGGATAGACGTAGATGGGCAGATGGAGACGAATAGATATACATAGGCAGATAGGGAAGGATAGATGTATATGAGCGGATGGTGACGGATTGAAGGACATGAACGGATTGAGACCGATAGAAATGAGCTGATGGCGACGGATAAATAGACATGGGCAAATGGGGAAGGATAGACGTAGATGGGCAGATGGAGACGAATAGATTTACATAGGCAGATAGGGAAGGATAGATGTATATGAGCGGATGGTGACGGATTGAAGGACATGAACGGATTGAGACCGATAGAAATGAGCTGATGGCGACGGATAAATAGACATGGGCAAATGGGGAAGGATAGACGTAGATGGGCAGATGGAGACGAATAGATGTACATAGGCAGATAGGGAAGGATAGATGTATATGAGAGGATGGTGACGGATTGAAGGACATGAACGGATTGAGACCGATAGAAATGAGCTGATGGCGACGGATAAATAGACATGGGCAAATGGGGAAGAATAGACGTAGATGGGCAGATGGAGACGAATAGATGTACATAGGCAGATAGGGAAGGATAGATGTATATGAGCGGATGGTGACGGATTGAAGGACATGAACAGATTGAGACCGATAGAAATGTGCTGATGGCGACGGATAAATAGACATGGGCAAATGGGGGAAGGATAGACGTAGATGGGCAGATGGAGACGAATAGATATACATAGGCAGATGGGGAAGGATAGATGTATATGAGAGGATGGTGACGGATTGAAGGACATGAACGGATTGAGACCGATAGAAATGAGCTGATGGCGACAGATAAATAGACATGGGCAAATGGGGAAGGATAGACGTAGATGGGCAGATGGAGACGAAAGATTTACATAGGCAGATAGGGAAGGATAGATGTATATGAGCGGATGGTGACGGATTGAAGGACATGAACGGATTGAGACCGATAGAAATGAGCTGATGGCGACGGATAAATAGACATGGGCAAATGGGGAAGGATAGACGTAGATGGGCGAGATGGAGACGAATAGATTTACATAGGCAGATAGGGAAGGATAGATGTATATGAGCGGATGGTGACGGATTGAAGGACATGAACGGATTGAGACCGATAGAAATGAGCTGATGGCGACGGATAAATAGACATGGGCAAATGGGGAAGGATAGACGTAGATGGGCAGATGGAGACGAATAGATTTACATAGGCAGATAGGGAAGGATAGATGTATATGAGCGGAGGGTGACCGATTGTAGTACATGAACGGATTGAGACCGATAGAAATGAGCTGATGGCGACGGATAAATAGACATGGGCAAATGGGGAAGGATAGACGTAGATGGGCAGATGGAGACGAATAGATATACATAGGCAGATAGGGGGAAGGATAGATGTATGAAAGGAGAACGGATGGTGACGGATTGAGGTGGACATGGGAAGGATAGACGTAGATGGGAACGGATTGAGACCGAGGCAGATAGAGAAGGAGAAATGAGCTGATGGCGACGGATAAATAGAAAGACATGGGCAAATGGGGAAGGATAGACGTAGATGGGCAGATAGAGACGAATAGATTTACATAGACAGATAGGGAAGTATAGATGTATATGAGCGGATGTAACGGATTGACGGACATGAACGGATTGAGACCGATAGAAATGAGCTGATGGCGACGGATAAATAGACATGGGCAAATGGGGAAGGATAGACGTAGATGGGCAGATGGAGACGAATAGATATACATAGGCAGATAGGGAAGGATAGATGTATATGAGCGGATGGTGACGGATTGAAGGACATGAACGGATTGAGACCGATAGAAATGAGCTGTTGGCGACGGATAAATAGACATGTGTAAATGGGAAAGGATAGACGTAGATGGGCAGATAGAGACGAATATATTTACATAAGCAGATAGGGAAGGATAAATGTATATGAGCGGATCGTGACGGATTGAAGGACATGAACGGATTGAGACCGATAGAAATGAGCTGTTGGTGACGGATAAATAGACATGGGTAAATGGGGAAGGATAGACGTAGATGGGCAGATGGAGACGAATAGATATACATAAGCAGATAGGGAGGGATAGATGTATATGAGCGGATCGTGACGGATTGAAGGACATGAACGGATTGAGACCGACAGAAATGAGCTGATGGCGACGGATAAATAGACATGGGCAAATGGGGAAGGATAGACGTAGATGGGCAGATAGAGACGAATATATTTACATAGGCAGATAGGGAAGGATAGATGTATATGAGCGGATGGTGACGGATTGAAGGACATGAACGGATTGAGACCGATAGAAATGAGCTGATGGCGACGGATAAATAGACATGGGCAAATGGGGAAGGATAGACGTAGATGGGCAGATAGAGACGAATAGATTTACATAGGCAGATAGGGAAGGATAGATGTATATGAGCGGATGGTGACGGATTGAAGGACATGAACGGATTGAGACCGATAGAAATGAGCTGATGGCGACGGATAAATAGACATGGGCAAATGGGGAAGGATAGACGTAGATGGGCAGATAGAGACGAATAGATTTACATAGGCAGATAGGGAAGGATAGATGTATATGAGCGGATGGTGACGGATTGAAGGACATGAACGGATTGAGACCGATAGAAATGAGCTGATGGCGACGGATAAATAGACATGGGCAAATGGGGAAGGATAGACGTAGATGGGCAGATGGAGACGAATAGATATACATAGGCAGATAGGGAAGGATAGATGTATATGAGCGGATGGTGGCGGATTGAAGGACATGAACGGATTGAGACCGATAGAAATGAGCTGATGGCGACGGATAAATAGACATGGGCAGATGGGGAATGATAGACGTAGATGGGCAGATAGAGACGAATAGATTTACATAGGCAGATAGGGAAGGATAGATGTATATGTGCGGATGGTGACGGATTGAAGGACATGAACGGATTGAGACCGACAGAAATGAGCTGATGGCGACGGATAAATAGACATGGGCAAATGGGGAAGGATAGACGTAGATGGGCAGATAGAGACGAATAGATTTACATAGGCAGATTGGGAAGTATAGATGTATATGAGCGGATGTAACGGATTGAAGGACATGAACGGATTGAGACCGATAGAAATGAGCTGATGGCGACGGATAAATAGACATGGGTAAATGGGGAAGGATAGAAATGGGGATAGAGACGAATAGATTTACGTAGGCAGATGGGCAGATGGAGACGGAATGACGGATGAAGGACATGAACGGATTGAGACTGACAGAAATGAGCAGATGGGGAAGGATAAATAGACATGGGTAGGATAGACGGATGGAGACGAATAGGACATAGGCAGATAGGGAAGGGACATATGAACGGATTGAAGGATGAACGATTGAGATAGAAATGAGCTGATGGCGACGGATAAATAGACATGGGCAAATGGGGAAGGATAGACGTAGATGGGCAGATGGAGACGAATAGATTTACATAGGCAGATAGGGAAGGATAGATGTATATGAGCGGATGGTGACGGATTGAAGGACATGAACGGATTGAGACCGATAGAAATGAGCTGATGGCGACGGATAAATAGACATGGGCAAATGGGGAAGGATAGACGTAGATGGGCAGATGGAGACGAATAGATTTACATAGGCAGATAGGGAAGGATAGATGTATATGAGCGGATGGTGACGGATTGAAGGACATGAACGGATTGAGACCGATAGAAATGAGCTGATGGCGACGGATAAATAGACATGGGCAAATGGGAAGGGGAGAGGATGGAGACGTAGATGGGCAGATGATGAGAGAGGATGGTGACGGATAGATTGAGACTGATAGAAATGAGCTGATGGCGACGGGAAGGATAGATAGATGGGCAGATGGAGAGCGGATGGTAGGCACGGATTAATGAGAGGAAGGACATGAAGGACATGAACGATTGAGACCGACAGAAATGAGCTGATGGCGACGGATAAATAGACATGGGCAAATGGGGAAGGATAGACGTAGATGGGCAGATGGAGACGAATAGATTTACATAGGCAGATAGGGAAGGATAGATGTATATGAGCGGATGGTGACGGATTGAAGGACATGAACGGATTGAGACCGATAGAAATGAGCTGATGGCGACGGATAAAAGACATGGGCAAATGGGGAAGGATAGACGTAGATGGGCAGATAGAGACGAATAGATTTTCATAGGCAGATAGGGAAGGATAGATGTATATGAGCGGATGGTGACGGATTGTAGGACATGAACGGATTGAGACCGATAGAAATGAGATGATGGCGACGGATAAATAGACATGGGAAAATGGGGAAGGATAGACGTAGATGGGCAGATGGAGACGAATAGATGTAAATAGGCAGATAGGGAAGGATAGATGTATATGAGCGGATGGTGACGGATTGAAGGACATGGACGGATTGAGACCGACAGAATTGATCTGATGGCGACGGATAAAGAGACATGGGCAAATAGCGAAGGATAGACGTAGATGGGCAGATGGAGACGAATAGATTTACATAGGCAGATAGGGAAGGATAGATGTATATATGCGGATGGTGACGGATTGAAGGACATGAACGGATTGAGACCGACAGAAATGAGCTGATGGCGACGGATAAAGAGACATGGGCAAATAGGGAAGGATAGACGTAGATGGGCAGATAGAGACGAATAGATATACATAGGCAGATAGGGAAGTATAGATGTATATGAGCGGATGTGACGGATTGAAGGACATGAACGGATTGAGACCGATAGAAATGAGCTGATGGCGACGGATAAATAGACATGGGCAAATGGGGAAGGATAGACGTAGATGGGCAGATAGAGACGAATAGATATACATAGGCAGATAGGGAAGGATAGATGTATATGTGCGGATGGTGACGGATTGAAGGACATGAACGGATTGAGACCGACAGAAATGAGCTGATGGCGACGGATAAATAGACATGGGCAAATGGGGAAGGATAGACGTAGATGGGCAGATAGAGACGAATATATTTACATAGGCAGATAGGGAAGGATAGATGTATATGAGCGGATGGTGACGGATTGAAGGACATGAACGGATTGAGACCGATAGAAATGAGCTGTTGGCGACGGATAAATAGACATGGGTAAATGGGGAAGGATAGACGTAGATGGGCAGATAGAGACGAATATATTTACATAGGCAGATAGGGAAGGATAGATGTATATGAGCGGATCGTGACGGATTGAAGGACATGAACGGATTGAGACCGACAGAAATGAGCTGATGGCGACGGATAAATAGACATGGGCAAATGGGGAAGGATAGACGTAGATGGGCAGATAGAGACGAATATATTTACATAGGCAGATAGGGAAGGATAGATGTATATGAGCGGATGGTGACGGATTGAAGGACATGAACGGATTGAGACTGACAGAAATGAGCTGATGGCGACGGATAAATAGACATGGGCAAAATGGGGAAGGATAGACGTAGATGGGCAGATGGAGACGAATAGATTTACATAGGCAGATAGGGAAGGATAGATGTATATGAGCGGATGGTGACGGATTGAAGGACATGAACGGATTGAGACCGATAGAAATGAGCTGATGGCGACGGATAAATAGACATGGGCAAATGGGGAAGGATAGACGGAGATGGGCAGATGGAGACACATAGATATACATAGGCAGATAGGGAAGGATAGATGTATATGAGTGGATGGTGACGGATTGAAGGACATGAACGGATTGAGACCGATAGAAATGAGCTGATGGCGATGGATAAATAGACATGGGCAAATGGGGAAGGATAGACGTAGATGGGCAGATGGAGACGAATAGATATATAGGCAGATTGGGAAGGATAGATGTATATGAGCGGATGGTGACGGATTGAAGGACATGAACGGATTGAGACCGATAGAAATGAGCTGATGGCGACGGATAAATAGACATGGGCAAATGGGGAAGGATAGACGTAGATGGGCAGATAGAGACGAATAGATTTACATAGGCAGATAGGGAAGGATAGATGTATATGAGCGGATGGTGACGGATTGAAGGACATGAACGGATTGAGACCGATAGAAATGAGCTGATGGCGACGGATAAATAGACATGGGTAAATGGGGAAGGATAGACGTAGATGGGCAGATGGAGACGAATAGATGTACATAGGCAGATTGGGAAGTATAGATGTATATGAGCGGATGGTGATGGATTGAAGGACATGAACGGATTGGAGACCGATAGAAATGAGCTGATGGCGACGGATAAATAGACATGGGCAAATGGGGAAGGATAGACGTAGATGGGCAGATGGAGACGAATAGATTTACATAGGCAGATAGGGAAGTATAGATGTATATGAGCGGATGTAACCGATTGAAGGACATGAACGTATTGAGACCGATAGAAATGAGCTGATGGCGACGGATAAATAGACATGGGCAAATGGGGAAGGATAGACGTAGATGGGCAGATGGAGACGAATAGATGTACATAGGCAGATAGGGAAGGATAGATGTATATGAGCGGATGGTGACGGATTGAAGGACATGAACGGATTGAGACCGTTAGAAATGAGCTGATGGCGACGGATTAATAGACATGGGCAAATGGGGAAGGATAGACGTAGATGGGCAGATAGAGACGAATAGATATACATAGGCAGATAGGGAAGGATAGATGTATATTTGAGGATGGTGACGGATTGAAGGACATGAACGGATTGAGACCGATAGAAATGAGCTGATGGCGACGGATAAATAGACATGGGCAAATGGGGAAGGATAGACGTAGATGGGCAGATGGAGACGAATAGATTTACATAGGCAGATAGGGAAGGATAGATGTATATGAGGATGGTGACGGATTGAAGGACATGAACGGATTGAGACCGACAGAAATGAGCTGATGGCGACGGATAAATAGACATGGGCAATGGGGGGAAGGATAGACGTAGATGGGCAGATGGAGACGAATAGATTTACATAGGCAGAAGGGGGAAGGATAGATGTATGGATGACATGGAACGGATGTGACGGATTGGAAGGACATGGAACGGATTGAGACGACAGAAATGAGCTGATGGCGACGGATAAATAGACATGGGCAAATGGGGGGGAAGGATAGAGGTAGATGGGCATGAAGATTGAGAGACGAATAGATTTGGCGACGATAAACAAAGGCAGATGGGGAAGGATAGATGTATATGAGCGGATGGTGCGAGGATGATTGAAGGACATGAACGGATTGAGACTGATAGAAATGAGCTGATGGCGACGGATAAAAGACATGGGCAAATGGGGAAGGATAGACGTAGATGGGCAGATGGAGACGAATAGATATACATAGGCAGATAGGGAAGGATAGATGTATATGAGCGGATGGTGACGGATTGAAGGACATGAACGGATTGAGACCGACAGAAATGAGCTGATGGCGACGGATAAATAGACATGGGCAAATGGGGAAGGATAGACGTAGATGGGCAGATAGAGACGAATAGATTTACATAGGCAGATAGGGAAGGATAGATGTATATGAGCGGATGGTGACGGATTGAAGGACATGAACGGATTGAGACCGACAGAAATGAGCTGATGGCGACGGATAAATAGACATGGGCAAATGGGGAAGGATAGACGTAGATGGACAGATGGAGACGAATAGATTTACATAGGCAGATAGGGAAGGATAGATGTATATGAGCGGATGGTGACGGATTGAAGGACATGAACGGATTGAGACCGATAGAAATGAGCTGTTGGCGACGGATAAAAAGACATGGGTAAATGGGGAAGGATAGACGGAGATGGGCAGATGGAGACACATAGATATACATAGGCAGATAGGGAAGGATAGATGTATATGAGCGGATCGTGACGGATTGAAGGACATGAACGGATTGAGACTGACAGAAATGAGCTGATGGCGACGGATAAATAGACATGGGTAAATGGGGAAGGATAGACGTAGATGGGCAGATAGAGACGAATATATTTACATAGGCAGATAGGGAAGGATAGATGTATATGAGCGGATGGTGACGGATTGAAGGACATGAACGGATTGAGACCGATAGAAATGAGCTGATGGCGACGGATAAATAGACATGGGCAAATGGTGAAGGATAGACGTAGATGGGCAGATGAGACGAACAGAATAGATAGGCAGATAGGGAAGGATAGATGTATATGAGCGGATGGTGACGGATTGAAGGACATGAACGGATTGAGACCGACAGAAATGAGCTGATGGCGACGGATAAACAGACATGGGGAAATGGGGAATGAGGAATAGACGGGAAGGATGGGCAGATGGAGACGAATAGATGAGACCGATAGAAATGAGGCACGGATAGACATGGGAGGAGGATAGACGAATAGATGTATGGGCAGATAGGGAAGGATGGAGCGGACGGATTGAAGGACATGAACGGATTGAGACCGATAGAAATGAGCTGATGGCGACGGATAAATAGACATGGGCAAATGGGGAAATAGACGTAGATGGGCAGATGGAGACGAATAGATTTACATAGGCAGATGGGAAGGATAGATGTATAAGGAGCGGATGGTGACGGATTGAAGGACATGAACGGATTGAGACCGATAGAAATGAGTTGATGGCGACGGATAAATAGACATGGGCAAATGGGGAAGGATAGACGTAGATGGGCAGATGGAGACGAATAGATTTACATAGGCAGATAGGGAAGGATAGATGTATATGGAGCGGATGGTGACGGATTGAAGGACATGAACGGATTGAGACTGACAGAAATGAGCTGATGGCGACGGATAAAATAGACATGGGCAAATGGGGAAGGATAGACGTAGATGGGCAGATGGAGACGAATAGATTTACATAGGCAGATAGGGAAGGATAGATGTATATGAGCGGATGGTGACGGATTGAAGGACATGAACGGATTGAGACCGATAGAAATGAGCTGATGGCGACGGATAAAAGAGACATGGGCAAATGGGGAAGGATAGACGTAGATGGGCAGATGGAGACGAATATATTTACATAGGCAGATAGGGAAGGATAGATGTATAGGAGCGGATGGTGACGGATTGAAGGACATGAACGGATTGGAGACCGACAGAAATGAGCTGATGGCGACGGATAAATAGACATGGAAAAATGGGGAAGGATAGACGTAGATGGGCAGATGGAGACGAATAGATGTACATAGGCAGATGGGGAAGGATAGATGTAGATGAGCGGGGATGGTGACGGATTGAAGGACATGAACGGATTGAGACCGACAGAAATGAGACTGATGGCGACGGATAAATAGACATGGGCAAATGGGGAAGGATAGACGTAGATGGGCAGATAGAGACGAATAGATTTACATAGGCAGATAGGGAAGGATAGATGTATATGAGCGGATGGTGACGGATTGAAGGACATGAACGGATTGAGACCGATAGAAATGAGCTGATGGCGACGGATAAATAGAACATGGGCAAATGGGGAAGGATAGACGTAGATGGGCAGATGGAGACGAATAGATTACATAGGCAGATAGGGAAGGATAGATGTATATGAGCGGATGGTGACGGATTGAAGGACATGAACGGATTGGAGACCGATAGAAATGAGCTGATGGCGACGGATAAATAGACATGGGCAAATGGGGAAGGATAGACGTAGATGGGCAGATGGAGACGAATAGATTTACATAGGCAGATAGGGAAGGATAGATGTATATGAGCGGATGGTGACGGATTGAAGGACATGAACGGATTGAGACCGATAGAAATGAGCTGATGGCGACGGATAAAATAGACATGGGCAAATGGGGAAGGATAGACGTAGATGGGCAGATGGAGACGAATAGATTTACATAGGCAGATAGGGAAGGATAGATGTATATGAGCGGATGGTGACGGATTGAAGGACATGAACGGATTGAGACTGATAGAAATGAGCTTGGAGACGGATAAATAGACATGGGCAAATGGGGAAGGATAGACGTAGATGGGCAGATAGAGACGAATAGATTTACATAGGCAGATAGGGAAGGATAGATGTATATGAGCGGATGGTGACGGATTGAAGGACATGAACGGATTGAGACTGATAGAAATGAGCTGATGGCGACGGATAAAAGACATGGGCAAATGGGAAAGGACAGACGTAGATGGGCAGATAGAGACGAATAGATTTACATAGGCAGATAGGGAAGGATAGATGTATATGTGCGGATGGTGGCGGATTGAAGGACATGAACGGATTGAGACCGATAGAAATGAGCTGATGGCGACGGATAAATAGACATGGGCAAATGGGGAAGGATAGACGAGATGGGCAGATAGAGACGAATAGATTTACATAGGCAGATAGGGAAGGATAGATGTATATGTGCGGATGGTGACGGATTGAAGGACATGAACGGATTGAGACCGACAGAAATGAGCTGATGGCGACGGATAAATAGACATGGGCAAATGGGGAAGAATAGACGTAGATGGGCAGATGGAGACGAATAGATTTACATAGGCAGATAGGGAAGGATAGATATATATGAGCGGATGGTGACGGATTGAAGGACATGAACGGATTGAGACTGATAGAAATGAGCTGATGGCGACGGATAAATAGACATGGGCAAATGGGGAAGGATGGGCAGACGTAGATGGGCAGATAGAGACGAATAGATATACATAGGCAGATAGGGAAGGATAGATGTATATTTGAGGATGGTGACGGCTTGAAGGACATGAACGGATTGAGACCGATAGAAATGAGTTGATGGCGACGGATAAATAATGGGCAAATGGGGAAGGATAGACGTAGATGGGCAGATGGAGACGAATAGATGTACAAAGGCAGATAGGGAAGGATAGATGTATATGAGCGGATCATTACGGATTGAAGGACAGGAACGGATTGAGACCGATAGAAATGAGCTGATGGCGACGGATAAATAGACATGGGCAAATGGGGAAGGATAGACGTAGATGGGCAGATGGAGACGAATAGATATACATAGGCAGATAGGGAAGGATAGATGTATATGAGAGGATGGTGACGGATTGAAGGACATGAACGGATTGAGACCGATAGAAATGAGCTGATGGCGACGGATAAATAGACATGGGCAAATGGGGAAGGATAGACGTAGATGGGCAGATAGAGACGAATAGATTTACATAGGCAGATAGGGAAGGATAGATGTATATGTGCGGATGGTGGCGGATTGAAGGACATGAACGGATTGAGACCGATAGAAATGAGCTGATGGTGACGGATAAATAGACATTGGCAGATGGGGAATGATAGAGGTAGATGGGCAGATGGAGACGAATATATTTACATAGGCAGATAGGTAAGTATAGATGTATATGAGCGGATGGTGACGGATTGAAGGACATGAACGGATTGAGACCGACAGAAATGAGCTGATGGCGACGGATAAATAGACATGGGCAAATGGGGAAGGATAGAAGTAGATGGGCAGATAGAGACGAATATATTTACATAGGCAGATAGGGAAGGATAGATGTATATGAGCGGATGGTGACGGATTGAAGGACATGGAACGGATTGAGACCGATAGAAATGAGCTGATGGCGACGGATAAATAGACATGGGCAAATGGGGAAGGATAGACGTAGATGGGCAGATGGAGACGAATAGATTTACATAGGCAGATAGGGAAGGATAGATGTATATGAGAGGATGGTGACGGATTGAAGGACATGAACGGATTGAGACCGACAGAAATGAGCTTGATGGCGACGGATAAATAGACATGGGCAAATGGGGAAGGATAGACGTAGATGGGCAGATGGAGACGAATAGATTTACATAGGCAGATAGGGAAGGATAGATGTATATATGAGCGGATGGTGACGGATTGAAGGACATGAACGGATTGAGACCGATAGAAATGAGCTGATGGCGACGGATAAATAGAGACATGGGCAAATGGGAAGGATAGACGTAGATGGGCAGATGGAGACGAATAGATTTACATAGGCAGATAGGGAAGGATAGATGTATATGAGCGGATGGTGACGGATTGAAGGACATGAACGGATTGGAGACCGATAGAAATGAGCTGATGGCGACGGATAAATAGACATGGGGCAAATGGGGGAAGGATAGACGTAGATGGGCAGATGGAGACGAATAGATTATACATGAGGCAGAGATAGGGAAGGATGAGATGAAATATATGAGCGGATGGTGGCGGATTGAAGGACATGAACGGATTGGAGATAGGATGGGGAAATGAGCTGATGGCGACGGGATAAATAGACATGGGCAAATGGGGAAGGATAGACGTAGATGGGCAGATGGAGACGAATAGATGTACATAGGCAGATAGGGAAGGATAGATGTATATGAGCGGATGGTGACGGATTGAAGGACATGAACGGATTGAGACCGATAGAAATGAGCTGATGGCGACGGATAAATAGACATGGGCAAATGGGGGAAGGATAGACGTAGATGGGCAGATGGAGACGAATAGATATACATAGGCAGATAGGGAAGGATGGATGTATATGAGCGGATGGTGACGGATTGAAGGACATGAACGGATTGAGACTGATAGAAATGAGCTGATGGCGACGGATAAAAGACATGGGCAAATGGGGAAGGATAGACGTAGATGGGCAGATGGAGACGAATAGATTTACATAGGCAGATAGGGAAGGATAGATGTATATGAGCGGATGGTGACGGATTGAAGGACATGAACGGATTGAGACCGATAGAAATGAGCTGATGGCGACGGATAAATAGACATGGGCAAATGGGGAAGGATAGACGTAGATGGGCAGATGGAGACGAATAGATTTACATAGGCAGATAGGGAAGGATAGATGTATATGAGCGATGGTGACGGATTGAAGGACATGAACGGATTGAGACCGATAGAAATGAGCTGATGGCGACGGATAAATAGACATGGGCAAATGGGGAAGGATAGACGTAGATGGGCAGATGGAGACGAATAGATATAGGGGGCAGATAGGGAAGGATAGATGTATATGAGCGGATGGTGACGGATTGAAGGACATGAACGGATTGAGACCGATAGAAATGAGCTGATGGCGACGGATAAATAGACATGGGCAAATGGGGAAGGATAGACGTAGATGGGCAGATGGAGACGAATAGATTTACATAGGCAGATAGGGAAGGATAGATGTATATGAGCGGATGGTGACGGATTGAAGGACATGAACGGATTGAGACCGATAGAAATGAGCTGATGGCGACGGATAAATAGACATGGGCAAATGGGGAAGGATAGACGTAGATGGGCAGATGGAGACGAATAGATTTACATAGGCAGATAGGGAAGGATAGATGTATATGAGCGGATGGTGACGATTGAAGGACATGAACGGATTGAGACCGATAGAAATGAGCTGATGGCGACGGATAAATAGACATGGGCAAATGGGAAGGAGAGACGTAGATGGGCAGATGGAGACGAATAGATGTACATAGGCAGATGGGGAAGGATAGATGTATATGAGCGGATGGTGACGGATTGAAGGACATGAACGGATTGAGACCGATAGAAATGAGCTGATGGCGACGGATAAATAGACATTGGCAAATGGGGAAGGATAGACGTAGATGGGCAGATAGAGACGAATAGATTTACATAGGCAGATAGGGAAGGATAGATGTATATGAGCGGATGGTGACGGATTGAAGGACATGAACGGATTGAGACCGATAGAAATGAGCTGATGGCGACGGATAAATAGACATGGGCAAATGGGGAAGGATAGACGTAGATGGGCAGATGGAGACGAATAGATATACATAGGCAGATAGGGAAGGATAGATGTATATGAGCGGATCGTGACGGATTGAAGGACATGAACGGATTGAGACCGACAGAAATGAGCTGATGGCGACGGATAAATAGACATGGGCAAATGGGGAAGGATAGAAGTAGATGGGCAGATAGAGACGAATATATTTACATAGGCAGATAGGGAAGGATAGATGTATATGAGCGGATGGTGACGGATTGAAGGACATGAACGGATTGAGACCGATAGAAATGAGCTGTTGGCGACGGATAAATAGACATGGGCAAATGGGGAAGGATAGACGTAGATGGGCAGATAGAGACGAATAGATTTACATAGGCAGATAGGGAAGGATAGATGTATATGTGCGGATGGTGGCGGATTGAAGGACATGAACGGATTGAGACCGACAGAAATGAGCTGGATGGCGACGGATAAATAGACATGGGCAAATGGGGAAGGATAGACGTAGATGGGCAGATGGAGACGAATAGATTTACATGAGGCAGATAGGGAAGGATAGATGTATATGAGCGGATGGTGACGGATTGAAGGACATGAACGGATTGAGACCGATAGAAATGAGCTGATGGCGACGGATAAATAGACATGGGCAAATGGGGAAGGATAGACGTAGATGGGCAGATGGAGACGAATAGATATACATAGGCAGATAGGGAAGGATAGATGTATATGAGCGGATGGTGACGGATTGAAGGACATGAACGGATTGAGACCGATAGAAATGAGCTGATGGCGACGGATAATAGATGGCGAAGGGATAAATGGGCATGGGCAAATGGGGAAGGGATAGAGGATAGATGGGCGGATGGAGACGAATGAAATAGATGATAGAAATGAGCTGGTGGCGAGATAGACAGGGATAGACGTAGAGGATGGAGATGTATATATGAGGGAAGGATAGATGTGAGACGATGGTGAAGGACATGAACGGATTGAGACCGATAGAAATGAGCTGATGGCGACGGATAAATAGACATGGGCAAATGGGGAAGGAGAGACGTAGATGGGCAGATGGAGACGAAATAGATTTACATAGGCAGATAGGGAAGGATAGATGTATATGAGGATGGTGACGGATTGAAGGACATGAACGGATTGAGACCGATAGAAATGAGCTGATGGCGACGGATAAATAGACATGGGGCAAATGGGGAAGGATAGACGTAGATGGGCAGATGGAGACGAATAGATTTACATAGGCAGATGGGAAGGATAGATGTATATGAGCGGATGGTGACGGATTGAAGGACATGAACGGATTGAGACCGATAGAAATGAGCTTGATGGCGACGGATAATAGACATGGGCAAATGGGGAAGGATAGATGTAGATGGGCAGATGGAGACGAATAGATATACATAGGCAGATAGGGAAGGATAGATGTATATGAGGATGGTGACGGATTGAAGGACATGAACAGATTGAGACCGATAGAAATGAGCTGATGGCGACGGATAAATAGACATGGGCAAATGGGGAAGGATAGACGTAGATGGGCAGATGGGAGACGAATAGATATACATAGGCAGATATGGGAAGGATAGATGTATAGGAGCGGATGGTGACGGATTGAAGGACATGAACGGATTGAGACCGATAGAAATGAGCTGATGGCGACGGATAAATAGACATGGGCAAATGGGGAAGGATAGACGTAGATGGGCAGATGGAGACGAATAGATGTACATAGGCAGATAGGGAAGGATAGATGTATATGAGCGGATGGTGACGGATTGAAGGACATGGAACGGATTGAGACCGATAGAAATGAGCTGATGGCGACGGATAAATAGACATGGGCAAATGGGGAAGGATAGACGTAGATGGGGCAGATGGAGACGAATAGATTTACATAGGCAGATAGGGAAGGATAGATGTATATGAGCGGATGGTGACGGATTGAAGGACATGAACGGATTGAGACCGATAGAAATGAGCTGATGGCGACGGAGATGAATACATGGGCAAATGGGGAAAGGATAGACGGAGATGGGCAGATGGAAAGACGAATAGATGGGTAAATACATAGGCAGATGGGGAAGGATAGATGTACAGGCAGATGGGAAGGATGGTGACGGATTGAAGGACATGAACGGATTGAGACCGATAGAAATGAGCTGATGGCGACGGATAAAAGACATGGGCAAATGGGGAAGGATAGACGTAGATGGGCAGATGGAGACGAATAGATTTACATAGGCAGATAGGGAAGTATAGATGTATATGAGGGGATGGTGACGGATTGAAGGACATGAACGGATTGAGACCGATAGAAATGAGCTGATGGCGACGGATAAATAGACATGGGCAAATGGGAAAGGATAGACGTAGATGGGCAGATGGAGACGAATATATTTACATAGGCAGATAGGGAAGGATAGATGTATATGAGCGGATGGTGACGGATTGAAGGACATGAACGGATTGAGACCGATAGAAATGAGCTGATGGCGACGGATAAATACACATGGGCAAATGGGGAAGGATAGACGTAGATGGGCAGATGGGAGACGAATAGATATACATAGGCAGATTGGGAAGGATAGATGTATATGAGCGGATGGTGACGGATTGAAGGACATGAACGGATTGAGACCGATAGGAATTAGCTGATGGCGACTGATAAATAGACATGGGCAAATGGGAAGGGATTGACGTAGATGGGCAGATAGAGACGAATAGATGTACATAGGCAGATAGGGAAGGATAGATATATATGAGCGCATCGTGACGGATTGAAGGACATGAACGGATTGAGACCGACAGAAATGAGCTGATGGCGACGGATAAAGAGACATGGGCAAATAGGGAAGGATAGACGTATATGGGCAGATAGAGACGAATAGATTTACATAGGCAGATAGGGAATTATAGATGTATATGAGAGCATGGTGACGGATTGAAGGACATGAACGGATTGAGACCGATAGAAATGAGCTGATGGCGACGGATAAATAGACATGGGCAAATGGGGAAGGATAGACGTAGATGGGCAGATGGAGACGAATAGATGTACATAGGCAGATAGGGAAGGATAGATGTATATGAGCGGATGGTGACGGATTGAAGGACATGAACAGATTGAGACCGATAGAAATGTGCTGATGGCGACGGATAAATAGACATGGGCAAATGGGGAAGGATAGACGTAGATGGGCAGATGGAGACGAATAGATATACATAGGCAGATAGGGAAGGATAGATGTATATGAGCGGATGGTGACGGATTGAAGGACATGAACGGATTGAGACCGATAGAAATGAGCTGATGGCGACGGATAAATAGACATGGGCAAATGGGGAAGGGAGACGTAGATGGGCAGATGGAGACGAATAGATGTACATAGGCAGATGGGGAAGGATAAGATGTATATGAGCGGATGGTGACGGATTGAAGGACATGAACGGATTGAGACCGATAGAAATGAGCTGATGGCGACGGATAAATAGACATGGGCAAATGGGGGAAGGATTGACGTAGATGGGCAGATGGAGACGAATAGATTTATATAGGCAGATAGGGAAGGATAGATGTAGATGAGCGGATGGTGACGGATTGAAGGACATGAACGGATTGAGACCGTTAGAAATGAGCTGATGGCGACGGATAAATAGACATGGGCAAATGGGGAAGGATAGACGTAGATGGGCAGATGGAGACGAATAGATGTACATAGGCAGATAGGGAAGGATAGATGTAAGTGAGCGGATGGTGACGGATTGAAGGACATGAACGGATTGAGACCGATAGAAATGAGCTGATGGCGACGGATAAATAGACATGGGCAAATGGGAAGGATAGACGTAGATGGGCAGATGGAGACGAATAGATTTACATAGGCAGATAGGGAAGGATAGATGTATATGAGCGGATGGTGACGGATTGAAGGACATGAACGGATTGAGACCGACAGAAATGAGCTGATGGCGACGGATAAATAGACATGGGCAAATGGGGAAGGATAGACGTAGATGGGCAGATGGAGACGAATGGATTTACATAGGCAGATGGGAGGATAGATGTATATGAGCGGATGGTGACGGATTGAAGGGCAGAACGGATTGAGACCGATAGAAATGAGTTGATGGCGACGGATAAATAGACATGGGTAAATGGGGGAAGGATAGACGTAGATGGGCAGATGGAGACGAATAGATATACATAGGCAGATAGGGAAGGATAGAAGGAGCGGATGTGACGGATTGAAGGACATGAACGGATTGAGACCGATAGAAATGAGCTGATGGCGACGGATAAATAGACATGGGCAAATGGGGAAAGGATAGATGAGTAGATGGGCAGATAGAGACGAATAGATGTACATAGGCAGATAGGGAAGGATAGATATATATGGAGCGGATGGTGACGGATTGAAGGACATGAACGGATTGAGACCGATAGAAATGAGCTGATGGCGACGGATAAATAGACATGGGCAAATGGGGAAGGATAGACGTAGATGGGCAGATGGAGACGAATAGATTTACATAGGCAGATAGGGAAGGATAGATGTATATGAGCGGATGGTGACGGATTGAAGGACATGAACGGATTGAGACCGATAGAAATGAGCTGATGGCGACGGATAAATAGACATGGGCAAATGGGGGGAAGGATGGGCAGAGGAGACGAATAGATGTACATAGGCAGATAGGGCAGGAGATCGGATGGGTGACAGATTGAAGGACATGAATTGAGACCGATAGAAATGATGATGGCGACGGATAAATAGACATGGGCAAATGGGAAGGATAGAAGATGGGCAGTTGGATATAGATATACATAGGCAGATAAGGAGGGGATAGATGACGAGCGGATTGAATTGAAGGACATGAACAGATTGAGACTGATAGAAATGAGCTGATGGCGACGGATAAATAGACATGGGCAAATGGGGAAGGATAGACGTAGATGGGCAGATGGAGACGAATAGATATACATAGGCAGATAGGGAAGGATAGATGTATATGAGCGGATGGTGACGGATTGAAGGACATGAACGGATTGAGACCGATAGAAATGAGCTGATGGCGACGGATAAATAGACATGGGCAAATGGGGAAGGATGGATGGACGAATAGATGGGCAGATGGAGACGAATAGATGTAAATAGGCTGATAGGGAAGGATAGATGTATATGAGCGGATGGTGACGGATTGAAGGACATGAACGGATTGAGACCGATAGAAATGAGCTGATGGCGACGGATGGCGACGGATAAAGACATGGGATAAAAATGGGGAAGGATAGACGTAGATGGGCAGATGGAGACGAATAGATGTACATAGGCAGATAGGAAGGATAGATGTATATGAGCGGATGGTGACGGATTGAAGGACATGAACGGATTGAGACCGATAGAAATGAGCTGATGGCGACGGATAAATAGACATGGGCAAATGGGGAAGGATAGACGTAGATGGGCAGATGGAGACGAATAGATGTACATAGGCAGATAGGGAAGGATAGATGTATATGAGCGGATGGTGACGGATTGAAGGACATGGACGGATTGAGACCGTTAGAAATGAGCTGATGGCGACGGATTAATAGACATGGGCAAATGGGTAAGGATAGACGTAGATGGGCAGATGGACACGAATACATGTATATAGCCAGATAGGGAAGGATAGATGTATATGAGCGGATGGTGACGGATTGAAGGACATGAACGGATTGAGACCGTTAGAAATGAGCTGATGGCGACGGATTAATAGACATGGGCAAATGGGGAAGGATAGACGTAGATGGGCAGATGGAGACGAATAGATGTACATAGGCAGATAGGGAAGGATAGATGTATATGAGCGGATGGTGACGGATTGAAGGACATGAACGGATTGAGACCGATAGAAATGAGCTGATGGCGACGGATAAATAGACATGGGCAAATGGGGAAGGATAGACGTAGATGGGCAGATAGAGACGAATAGATTTACATAGGCAGATAGGGAAGGATAGATGTATATGTGCGGATGGTGACGGATTCAAGGACATGAACGGATTGAGACCGATAGAAATGAGCTGATGGCGACGGATAAATAGACACGGGCAAATGGGGAAGGATAGACGTAGATGGGCATATGTAGTCGAATAGATGTACATAGGCAGATAGGGAAGTATAGATATATATGAGCGGATCGTCACGGATTGAAGGACATGAACGGATTGAGACCGACAAAAATGAGCTGATGGCGACGGATTAATAGACATGGGCAAATGGGGAAGTATAGACATAGATGGGCAGATGGAGACGAAGAGCTATACATAGGCAGCTTGGGAAGTATAGATGTATATTAGCGGATGTGACGGATTGAAGGACATGAACGGATTGAGACCGATAGAAATGAGCTGATGGCGACGGATAAATAGACATGGGCAAATATGGGCAGATGGAGACGAATAGATTTAGATGGGCAGATGGAGGGAAGGATAGATGTATAGGGAAGTATAGCGGATGGTGACGGATTGAAGGACATGAACGGATTGAGACCGATAGAAATGAGCTGATGGCGACGGATAAATAGACATGGGCAAATATGGAAGTATAGACGTAGATTGGCAGATAGAGACGAATAGATTTACATAGGCAGATAGGGAAGGATAGATGTATATGAGCGGATGGTGGCGGATTGAAGGACATGAACTGTTTGAGACCGAACGAAATGAGATGATGGCGACGGATAAATAGACATGGGCAAATGGGGAAGGATAGACGTAGATGGGCAGATGGAGACGAATAGATGTACATAGGCAGATAGGGAAGTATAGATGTATATGAGCGGATGTGACGGATTGAATGACATGAACGGATTGAGACCGATAGAAATGACCTGATGGCGACGGATAAATAGATATGGGCAAATGGGGAAGGATAGACGAAGATGGGCAGATGGAGACGAATAGATGTACATAGGCAGATAGGAAAGGATAGATGTATATGAGCGGATGGTGACGGATTGAAGGACATGAACAGATTGAGACCGATAGAAATGTGCTGATGGCGACGGATAAATAGACATGGGCAAATGGGGAAAGATAGACTTAGATGGGCAGATGGAGACGAATAGATATACATAGGCAGATAGGGAAGGATAGATGTATATGAGCTGGTGGTGACGGATTGAAGGACATGGACGGATTGAGACCGTTAGAAATGAGCTGATGGCGACGTATTAATAGACATGGGCAAATGGCGAAGGATAGACGTAGATGGGCAGAAGGAGACGAATAGATGTACATAGGCAGATAGGGAAGGATAGATGTATATGAGCGGATGGTGACTTATTGAAGGACATGAACGGATTGATACCGTTAGAAATGAGCTGATGGCGACGGATTAATAGACATGGGCAAATGGGGAAGGATAGACGTAGATGGGCAGATGGAGACGAATAGATGTACATAGGCAGATAGAGAAGGATAGATGTATATGAGCGGATGGTGACGGATTGAAGGACATGTACGGATTGAGACCGATAGAAATGAGCTGATGTCGACGGATAAATAGACATGGGCAAATGGGGAAGGATAGACGTAGATAGGCAGATAGAGAGGAATAGATGTACATAGGCAGATAGGGAAGGATAGATGTATATGAGCGGATGGTGACGGATTGAATGACATGAACAGATTGAGACTGATAGAAATGAGCTGATGGCGACGGATAAATAGACATGGGCAATTGGGTAAGGATAGACGTAGATGGGCAGATGGAGACGAATAGATATACATAGGCAGATAGGGAAGGATAGATGTATATGAGCGGATGGTGACGGATTGAAGGACATGAACGGATTGAGACCGATAGAAATGAGGCGATGGCGACGGATAAATAGACATGGGCAAATGGGGAAGGATAGACGTAGATGGGCAGATGGAGACGAATAGATGTACATAGGCAGATAGGGACGTATAGCTATACGTGGGCAGGCGAATAGATAAGCCTAGACACAAAGGGACGAACAGATGTATATGGTCAAATAGGCACGGATAGATGTACATGGGCGGATTGATAGGAATACATGTACATGGACAGATGGGGACGAATCGATGGAGATGATCATATGAAGGCAGATACGTAGACATGTGCAGATGTGGATGGGTAGATGGACAGATGGAGACGTATAGATAGATATGTGTAGTAGGTGACGGATTGATGGACATTAGCGGATTGAGGCGGATATATAAGCCCAAAAAATCGAGACAGTTACATGGACATGAATGGATAGAGACATGGGCAGGTGGGGACGGATAGATAGACATTAGATGGAGATGGATAGACAGACGAGCTGATGGGGACTGATAGATAGGCATGGGATGATGGGGGATGGTTATAAGTACATGGGCAGATGGAAACGCATAGATATACATAGGCAGAGAGAGACGTATATATGTACCTGGGCAGATGGGGACGGATAGACAGACATGATCGGATGACGATAGATACGTAGATATGTGCGCATGTGGATGTATAGATGGACAGATGGAGACGGATTGATGGACATGAGCTGATGGAGACCGATAGATAGAAACGAGCTGATGGAGACGGATAGATAATTAGCGGATTGAGGCGAATATATAGACATGAGTGAATGGAGACCAATAGGTAGACATGATCGGATGAAGACAGATAGATAGACACGAACAGATCGACACAGACAGATGGACATGAAAGGATGGTGACGGATAGATAGACATGGACAGATGGGAACAGATAGACACAAAGAACAAATGGAGATGGATAGATAGACAAACTGTTGGAGACATGAACAGTGAGTAGGGACAGGTGGAAAGATTATACCGATAATCGACCAGATAGTTAGATTTAACAATATTTACCTTGCGGCACGTGGAGAGCGAGGAAATGCACGAACTGCAAAAAGTTTTCCATCGACCAGGCTTATGCAATTAAATCCGAAGTAATTTTTTTTTTTTTGTAAAATAAAGCTCGTTCAATTCATATTGCAAGCACAAAAACATCCGGTTAAATTTATCTTGAAACGAGGAAAACTCAAAACTGTCACTCGACTTTTAAATAGACAAACTGCCTCAGGTTTATAAATTTAGATATTTTGGATATGTTTTCTTCGTCTGGCGCGTCAGAAGGTAATTAATAGCTTTTACGGTTAAAAAGCATTGATGATTTTCTTTCCTTCTATGTATCTAGGACTTTCTATGTTTATTTCACATGTCTATCTATCTATCTATCTATCTATCTATATATATATATATATATATATAAAGTGATGGAAAGTGAAAAGAGAGAGAGTAATATATATATATATATATATATATATATATATATATATTCAGAGCGTTTCGTTTAGACTAATTTTTATAGATGTTTCGTTAAATAATTTAGACTAATTATTATTATAGTTGTCAAAAATTATTTAACGAAACCTGTCTGAATGAAAACATGCTACCGAAATACACGCATATATATATATATATATATATATATATATATATATTTAATATTAATATAAATATGTATATATATATATGTATTAATATTAAATATACATGTGTATATATATATATATATATATATATATATATATATATATATATAGTGTGTGTGTGTGTGTGTGTGTGTGTGTGTGTGTGTGTGTGTGTGTGTGTGTGTGTGTGAAGGGAGGAGGTTATATTTTGTTCCAATGAGAAAACCGCAAACGTTTTTGGTTGAAATGTGAATTTCCCAACGAAAAACGTTTGCGGTTCTCTTTTGTTTTTTAATGTATATATATATATATATATATATATATATATATATATATATATATATATATATATATATATATATATATAATATTTACCACATATCCATAGATGGCAAATCTCTACAGACAGATATATTTCAAATACACACACACACACAGACTCATATATATATATATATATATATGTGTGAAAATATATAGAAAATAGGAAGGAACTGGTTAGGTAAATAATCCAAAGTCCCTTAGTATTTTAGTTATTATTTTTAAAAATAGTGGTCGATACAAAAGTAGAGCATAAATATAATCATTTATTTAAAAATATGATTCCAAATCGCGACATAAGAAGTCCCATGTTTCAAAACTTCAATATAATTATTTAAATCATTTAAATTATTTAAATTATATTGAGTTAAAATAAGCTCTGTTCCATCTTCAAGCGAAATTTTTTTTGGAATAACGTGTTTCTGAAATTTATGTGTTTTAAAAATTGAAATCAAAATTTCCATGGTAACAGCTAGGGCGAATTGTTTAAGTTGGGTAGGCGGGTGTTGGGTGTTAATAATAAGTATCAGTATAGAGTTACTTTCGTAGATGTCAAGTCATGGAAAGGTGGTGGTGTCTAAATTTGAAACGGAAGATGTATTAACCCTCGTCTAGTTTGCATGTCTATGGAGATTTATTTATTTTTTTATTTTATTTTTTTATGAAAGGGATTTGTGTATATAAAAAAAAACAAAAACTGTCGTAACGTTTGTTTTTTGACGACTTCATAAAGGGTTATCTTTTTTTAGGGTATTTAAACTATTTATTACGGCTATGGATTATGAAGGGTGTTATATTGTATGCATGTTTTTAGTTAATTATTCAAACCATGAATCTGATGAGTGGGCTATGGATTAAACAAGTTATTATATTGTATGCTAGTTAAATGGAAAATTATTAACAAGGCTAGAACATGTAAAACTTGGGATGACCCATGCCCTTTATGCCTCCATGAGAAATTGCACATAATTAAGCTTCTAAATAATAATAATAATCTATTAAACAATAGACACGAGTTAACGGTTTTTTGTAGGCATCATCAGATTTTTGGTTTGAACTATTAGCTAAAAACTAGCATACAATATAATAACTTGTTTAATCCATACCGTAAACACGTAAATTTCAGAAACACGTTATTCCAAAAAAAATTTCGCTTGAAGATGGAACAGAGCTTATTTTAACTCAATTTAATTTAAATAATTTACATGATTTAAATAATTATATTGAAGTTTTCGGCTCTTGTTTTGAAACATGGGACTTCTTATGTCGCGATTTGGAATCATATTTTTAAATAAATAATTATATATATATATATATATATATATATATATATAGTGTTGGATTCAGGCCTGTCATTATGTTAAAGTGAATGTACCAGACTACGTCGAATGTTGAAATATACTTTTTCATTTGTTCATTCAATTGAGTCTTTACATTTTGGTTGTTACACTCACAATATTTCTACCGTTCTACTTTCTAATGAACTTCAGTATTTCCTGTGGCCACCAGGGAATTCATGTTAATGCAGATGGTGGAAGCTGTTATTATTTCTCCGCCCATCCAACTTGATATTAATTCTGCGTTCATTCTGTATTGTGTTATTCCTTGTTTTTCAGTCTCTTAGATTTCTTTAAATGTAATTATTTACATTGTTCGGAGCGTTGCCCTCATCATTATTGTCATATTCACGACATTTCCGCCGTAGGACTCTCCGGCCTCCATCAGGTGATTGGAATTTCGAACTGAACCCTTTATTTCGTCCACCGGGGTAGATTGTTCTAGTTCCACGTGCCATACCTCTTCCTCTTGTCCCAGTTATCTACCGTTAACTCTGATGTAGTTTTTATTGACAACTGCAGTAGCCAGATATTGAACTCACAACACTTTGGGTCAGTCACCGGATCCAACCAACGCTTTTATGCACTGGGCCATGTGACCCTCAGAACGGAGGCAATCACGGCTCTCCAGAGTTCCTTGCCTTATCGACATTGTAAGACCTTTTTCTCAAGATTAAGAGCTGTAAAGAATATAATTGCCATTGGAGGCGTTTAAGATAATCAAAATATACTTTGCTTTACATTCGAATATATCTATCTATCTATCTATCTATCTATATATATATATATATATATATATATATATATATATATATATATATATATATATATATACACTACCGATCAGAAGTATTAGAAATTTTGTTACAACCTGATACCTTTTCAGAACCATCGAGCAGAAATTGATAAACATTTCAACTCCACTGCTTCGTAGAAGTTCAGTTCCATCTAGATTGATAATAAACAGATTAGTATTGAAAAAGAGCCCAAGTAGAAATATTTTCAATAGACGTTTTTCTAGAAAATTACAGTATCATAAAATGCAGAAACAAGCGCAAATGTTGACAGAAACAGATCTGAGAGGCGCAGAGTAACATCTCTTGCGGAGGATAAACACTTGATTGTGTCTAGCAATAGGAACAGGAGAAAACAGCTCCCCAACTAACTGTTGAATTTAATTCTACACGTTAACATCCAATATCTGCTATGACTGTTAAAAGTGTATCAGTTAAAAGAAGCCTTCTTTCTGTTGGTCTAAAGGGATGTGTATCAGTTAAGAGAAGGCTTCTTTCTGTTGGATTTAGAGGATGCATATCAGTTAAGAGAAAACTTCTTTCTATTGGACTTAAATGATGTGTATCAGTTAAGAGAAGCCTTCTTTCTGTTGGTCTAAAGGGATGTGTATCAGTTAAGAGAAGGCTTCTTTCTGTTGGATTTAGAGGATGCATATCAGTTAAGAGAAAACTTCTTTCTATTGGACTTAAATGATGTGTATCAGTTAAGAGAAGACTTCTTTCTGTTGGGCTTAAAGGATGTGTATCAGTTAAGAGAAGACTTCTTTCTGTTGGGCTTAAAGGATGTGTATCAGCTAAGAGAAGATTTCTTTCTGTAGGGCTTAATGGATGTGTACCAGTTAAGAAGCCTCTATTAAAAAAGGAAAATAAGTTGAAAAGACTAAAATGGGCACAAGGATTGGACTTTAGAAAATTGGAAATAAATACATATATATATATAAATACATACACATATAAATACATACACAAATAAATACATATATATTTATATAAATACATATATATATAAATGCATACATATATGCAAATACATATATATATATATATATATAAATACAGATATATATATAAATACAGATATAAACACATATATATATATAAATATTTACATATATGAACATATGTGTATATGTATATATATGTAAATATATATATATATATATATATATATATATGTACTTGGTGATGAGAATGTTAATTTTTCGTTTTTTTCCTATTAAAATCTAGCCTCGTGTGTGAAGTGATTTCTTGATGCAATCGGCCTACGAAATCGATCCCAGCATGCGACAACCTTGGAAATCCTTACTGTAGGTTGAAATTGGGTAGACAGAACTCTTCGGAACTGTCAATTGTTGTACATACAAGAAATAATAAGTCATCGTGACTGAGGTTTCGATATTTGTTCAAACTCTAGATCCCTCCATATTATGCTCTTTCTCCCTCTCCCTCGCCCCCTCTCTCTTTCTTTCTTTCTCTGTATGAACTTGAAACTAACATTCATGCAGCCTAACTTCCGAATAAACCATCGATGTTGAACGTGCACAAATGTCTCTGAGCAAGGCCTGCTCGCAATTGAAGTAACTGGTCATTGTATGAGCGAAGGGAAGGGAGGAATATAGAATATATCTTTTCATATTTTCATTCGCACACACGAAGATCTTGGCTACCCTATGTTCTAGAGTGGATATTGCGTTTTTAAAACTCTGAGGCAGCATGGAGTAATGGATAGCGGCTCGCATTGAGGGGTCGGGGAGCCGAGTTTGAATTCCAGTCGAATCCATTACTTGGATGGCAACTGGTCTAACTCAGAAAGAAATGGCAACGTACTGTGGATAAAATCTGCCTCGTCAGTCATGTATCGAAAGATACATGATCGCCATGTATCACTCATGGCACATAACTGACTTACTTAGGCAGCATGCACTTCTCTTATAGACATCAAATTCAGCACCAATTTTCCATAGATTGGGTGATAGGTCTTTGCCGACCTGCGCA